ATATTTCCCATTGACGAGGACCTCGCTGAGGGTGCCAAAACCAACTCCGCTCCCCGGCGGCACGAAGATGACCCCTGCTCAAGGAAACAAGGAAGGAAAACAACTGCGAAGAAAACTTCAACAACCATTCAAACTTACTTGCACATTTCGTTTTCACGAAGGAACCTAACAGCTGACATTGCAGGTGAGGTGCCTTTCTCTCGTTGTTCCATTCGCAGCAGCTCTTGTTCCCAGAAAAGCCGTAATTTTATCCTCTCTTTGTACATGCGATTCATCATGTTTGCTCTAAACAGAAGATCACAAATATGCTGTCTAACTGGAAGTGTCGACGGCCCTAGCACAAGATGTCCCTGAGAATGAGAAACGGCGATTAAATAACAACAACTAACCGCTCCTCAGAGTGTTCCTTCCAGAGAGCTCTCATTTCAGGACATAATCCGCTGCTTTCGTCTTCCTTAAAACAAATGCTAAAATATCCGTGATGTAGCCAATGGTCTACACTGCCTACTAAGCTGTTCATTTCTCTGAAAGTGTCTACTGATACGATCATTTTCATGACATACATGGAAATGTATTGGCCAATGCCAATACAATGACCATTTTGTCCTGATCGCCCACGCTTTAGGCCAAACAACTAATTGGGAGAGAGGCAGAACACTGTCAACACCTACGGATTCTGCCTCGCCATTGGCCACTGAGCCTGAGCTAGTGTTCGGCTCAACGAAAGTTTTTTGCTCGGTTTTCGGCTCCACCTTCTCGACACTTGTTTGTCCCGCCGTGCTTCCTGAGCTATCCACACGTCGCAACGAATAATCGCCAGTAAGCAGCAGCATACTCTTGTACTTCTCGTTGTCATGTCTAGGAAGTTCGCGTTGCTTTCGCAAATCATCCACCCAACGAGCAGCCAGCTGAAATTCTGCGTTCATAAAATAAAGCAGCATAGCAGTTAGAAGCATTAGAACAGAAGTACAAAAAAAACGGGGGCATGTGACAAAACAGTCGTAACTCGCCGCGCCGCTAGGCGACGCGTGGGATGTCGCGCTCGCAGATGACGATGTTTCGCAGATGTTCGAGGTCGTAGAAGTCGCGCGAGACGTCGCGCGGGGGAGCGGCAAATTACGATTGTCTTGACCGTCTCCCTTGAAGGGAATTATAGAGAGTTGGTAAAGCAAATATGTAAGGAATGAAAGGAAAAGTAGCAGGGTGGTGTTCCTCGCTCTTTTTCCTCGTCACAAATAAAGAAAAAATGAACAATGTAATGAACTTCTAACGCCAACCCTGCGCATCCATACTCGTAACACCTACACATCAGCGTCTCTCTATCTACTAACGTTTGACCTAACACCCCTTTTAAGTTGAAATCCAAAAGGAAAGCTCCTGAAACCTCCATTCAATAAAGAAGGCTG